GGTTCCCATATGGTAGCTTTAGGGCCCAAGTATATACTATATAGGTACATGGACCCTTAGGGTAGTAGTAGAGCATGTAACCCGGAAGTAGGGACATGCGGCGCGCTTGTTGGGATCTGGTGCTCCGATTTCGTGCGCTGGCCACGTCTGCCTCGTAGGGTGGGTGGGCGTAGCAGACACATGGTTTCTTGTTACTTCTCCAACAGCTGGACTTTAAAACTTTTTGGGGTTTCCTTTTTTAGTAGGAATGATGAAGTTTAACATTTATCCCTTGGGTTATTGGAGAAGTAAGTCTTGTCACGTCTTCCTCATAGGCCGGTTGGCGGGCCTTCTTGAGTATGTGCCGTCCTTGCAACCATCGTCAAGTTCTTGCCAAGCAGGCAGCCCTTCACTTTCTTGACGTCTTTTTTGCCCCTTTATCATCCCGAAGGTGAAGCTTTAGTTCCTTTAGGATACTGGAAGCCCTAAACCCGAAACCCTAAACCCTAAACCCGAAACTCGAAACCCGAAACCCGAAACCCTCCGCGCATTTGCGCCTTCTCTCAGGAGCTTCCGCTGGAGGAGGCCCAAACTTCGGTTTTCTGGCTCGCCCGACCTGAGCCGTGAACGCGAAAGAGGAATATCCACATGGGGTTCAGGGTTCAGGGTTCAGGGTTTAGGGTTTAGGGTTTAGGGTTTAGGGTTAGGTGTGTTCTACTAACTAGCCTAGGGCTGGGCTGGAGAGGAATCTGCAAGGATCTGAAATGAGGTGTCGGTGTCGGGGTCCTTACTTTATCCTGTTTACCTAGCACATTCATGGGTTCCCTTTTTGCGGACTTCCCATAATACAATCAGCCCTAAACCCGAAAGCCTAAACCCATACCCTATTCTATACCCTAAACCCTGAACCCTGAACCCTAAACCCCCTGCAGCGTGGCTTTGCCCTTCGAGTTTCTAAGTTTTGAGTTAGGGGCGTCTTAAGCCAAGGGTCCGAGATTCGGAGGTTGGCGGTTTTCAGCTTCGGGCCGCTGAACCCCGAGGGTTTAGGGTCTAGGGTTACAGGGTTTTGGGTTGTGGGTTTGGGGTTTAGGGTTTAAGGTTTAGGGTTTGGGGTTGGGGGTTTAGGGTGTCGGGTGCCCGTCTGCGCAGTTGACGTACCTCTCCCTGGGCACGAGCCGGTCTGTCTTTCAGGACACAGGGCGACACAGGGGCCGTTTCCATTGTCGGGTCGTTTTTCTCCACGGGCCTCTGGCTTTCATAGGGTTCAGTGGGAATGCTGAAACTTAAAACTCGGGGGAAGTTGGAGCCCCACCTCAACCCCTAAGCCCCTAAACCCTACACTGAGGGAACCCTTTCAAGATAAACCCCAACCCTAAGGGTCCATGTACCTATATAGTACTACTTGGGCCCTAAAGCTGCTATATGGGAACCCCTTTAAGGCCCAAGTATAGACTATATAGGTACATGGACCCTTAGGGCAAACCCCCAATGAGATTTTTGGGGCATGTCCTCGACCCCGGGCCCATACGCGAGCCCGCGCATCCACCACCAAGCCCTTGTCTTGCGGGTTGAGGGTTTTGGGTTTTGGGGTTGAGATACCCTACTAGGCTTTGGACCACCAAAGGGGTGGCATGATCTCAAAAATCCTAAACCCTAAACCCTAAACCCTAAACCCTAAACCCTAAACCCTAAACCCTAAACCGTTGTCCCCCAAGCCTGTAGGGTCCTTTTTTCTTGTTTTCGGCACCCATGGTTCCCCTTCTGTTTCCCCTCTGCTAGGGTTTGGGGTTACCCTAAACCCTAAACCCTAAACCCTAAACCCTAAACCCTAAACCCTAAACCCTAAACCCTAAACCCTAAACCCTAGGGTTTAGGGGTTAGGGTAGAGGAATTCGCAAATGTTTGGGATGATCGCCTGTTGGCTACAAGTCACTTTTGAAGGTGATGCATGATCCTAGCCCTAAACCCTAAACCCTAAACCCTAAACCCTAAACCCTAAACCCTAAACCCTAACCCCTAAACCCTAAACCCTAAACCCTAAACCCTAAACCCTAAACCCTAGGAGGGTTCAGGTTTTAGAACTTCGAGTTGCGCGGGCCTTAGTTTGTCTGATCCCAGGAGGCTTTCGTGCAAGATGAGACCTGGAGCACCGGCAGGACTACCTTAAGGCCTAAGCACCTTAAGCCCGCCCTCAGCCGTAATTCGAAAGTTTGCGCGACGGGAAGGTTGGGTGCTCGCAAGGGCGGATGGGTTGTTGGGTTCGGAAAGTCGACCTATGGGGAGGGAGGGAGGGAGGGAGGGAGTGAGGGAGGGAGGGAGGGAGAGAGGGAGGAAGAGAGAGGAAGAGAGAGAGAGACAGAGCGAGGGAGGGAGCGAGCGAGCGAGCGCTTGGTCTTAAGTTAAAGACTTAGGGTCTACACGGTCTAAGGTTGAGTGTAGCGTAGCAGCTGGCTTTGCGTTAGAAAACAGCAGTCGAAGGTTTTGGATTTAGATCCCCTAAGCCTGAAACTCCTAAACCCTA